GTCAATGATCATGTGGTTTCACTTATTTGTGGAACATAAGGAATAGCATGGAGGACATTAGGAGAAGGAAGGGAAAAATGAAGGGAGGGAAATAGGAGGGAGAGATGAACCATGAGAGACTATGGACTCTGAGAAACAAACAGGGTTTAGAGGGGAGGGGGAAGGGGGGATCGGTTAGCCCGGTGATGGGTATTAAGGAGAGCACGTACTGCATGGAGCACTGGGTGTTATACAAAAACAATGGATTTGGATCACCACATCAAAAACTAATGGTGTATTGTATGGTGACTAACAACATAATAAAATTAAGAAAAAATAAATATGAGACATATTCTTAGTACAAATGAGTAACAGAAACAGATAATAGGGTGGCTCAGTTGGTTGAGCATTCGACTCTTGATTTTGGTTCAGGTCATGATACAGGGTCCTGGGACTGAGCCCCACGTCAGGCTCTGAGCTCAGTGTGGAGTCTGCTTATCCTTGTCCTTCTACTCCTCCCCCTGTTCCTGTGTACTCTCTCTCTCTGTATCTTAAATAAATAAATAAAACCTTTAAAAAGAAAGAAACTGATGTTAAAAACAGATAATTGGCATAGTTGAAGGAGAAGGACCCAGAGGGCTAAGATGAAATGGTAGTTAAAATACATATACAGGTGTTAGTCTTGGATTCAAGGCAGATACCTCTACTAAAGAAAGGACAGAGAATACATTTGTAAGTGGGAAATCAAGAAAATTAAAGAGTTTCTACCTCATAGCTCTATTTGCTCTTGCAAGGCCATGTGAGGAGAATGTGATGGAAAAAACATAACACATCTGAAGACTATAGAGTTTGGAGTAAATCCAAAAGAGAAAAGGGAATGTTAGACTTTATATGAGTATGTAAGGGTGTGTGTGTGTGTGTGCCCGCACGTGCACATGCTAGCAGGCACACTCATACCTCTCTATGCACATACTCATATAGCTGAGGTTGAGAAACCCTAAACTGAGCTTTATTTGTCAGATTCTGCATCATGCCTTGTGCTCTTCCTGGAAATGTTTCTGTAACCCTACTTCCAAATTACAGCCAGCCCTTCAAAGTCATCATGAGATCTCAAATGACTCTGATACTGCCCCATGGGCAGTGAGCAGGTTCCCTGGGATCTTTCCTCACGCTCCTCTCTCAGGGTTATCTTGGCAAAGAGATAGCCAAAGAGAATAGGACTGGAGAAATAAAAGACTCCTACAAACTGGTCAGGAGCTTTTCTCAGGACTCAGGTAGGTTACTACAGGAAGACTGACAAAAACTAGTGGCTTTCAGCAAGGCCCAGAAAGTCCCAGTGCAGAGAATGCCAGCCCTTTAGGTGTTAGCTAGAACTGACCCCACAGTGTCTGATCTTAGAAAATGTCAGGTTATAAAATTGACTTTGTCCAAGGCCTAGCTAGAGTACCCTCTCATCCCACTTGCCCAACTGTGTGAGGGTGTAGGCAGTCTGGCTCAGAACCCCAAACAGGAGCCAGATTTAGAATAATCTAGCTCAGCAATAGGGAGGAAAAAGGTCCAATTTTCATGGGTTTGCACAACCGGGAGGAATCCTATTCTGACCCAGATCCCTCATGGTATTGAAAAAGAAGTAAAAGTCAAGCATAAGAGAAATATCTTGCCTAAAGTAAATAAATAGACCAATTTATTCCCCCGGGTGTAGAATCTTGTGAGATGTTGATCTATGTGCACTTCTGTCCGTATGGGATCTCTCTGTCTCCTCTCTTCATGTCCCTGGTCCCCGACACTAAGGCAGGCCTTCTTTTGGCATGGAGGAGCTGTTGGGAGGGCATTCAGATGGAAAACTGGAGAGCATTCTCTCAAATGTATACAATGGCAGGAGGAAAGGAAACAGAAGGAGTCCTTCTCATCCCCTCTTACTTGACTTTCACTAAGAGTTCCAAGATATTATGGCTTTAGGGATAGCAAGACATCATTAAGTTATATTCCTTGTCTCCAAACAAGAATAACTGGCAGAGAGGACAGACTGGGAGTTCAGTGTCTTAGAAAGTTTCGGAAGCGGATTTTCCCCAACAATGCCTTTGCTATGATTGTCAGAACTAGGAATGAGAAGTTTTCTTGATCTGAAAAGGCAATGCCACTAACCATAAATATTCCCAAAGAAGGGCAGGGCTCACCCATTTCTTTCTATCCCTTCTTTTAGTAGTCAGTTCCTTTCCATGAAAGCTCTGCAGAACAGTTTCTTCAGAAATTTGTCTTCAACCACCAAAAAGCCTTTTTATTTTTATTTTTTTATTATTATGTTATGTTAATCACCATACATTACATCATTAGTTTTTGATGTAGTGTTCCATGATTCATTGTTTGCGTATAACACCCAGTGCTCCATGCAGACCAAAAAGCCTTTTTAAATAAGTTCATGTCAACCACATGAGACAGATGTTAATTGTTCCATTTTATTTTATTTTATTTTATTTTTGTTGTTCTTGTTAAAAATTTATTTATTTTAGAAAGATAGTGAGTGAGCAAGTGGGGGGAGGGGCAGAGGGAGTCTGGTGCAGGGCTTGATCCCCATCCCACCAGTCATGAGATCATGACCTGATCTGAAACCAAGAGTCCGGTGCTCAACCGACTGAGCCATCCAGGCACCTCAGCATTGTTGTAACTTATTAATGACAACTTGAAAAAGTAAAATTAGAGTTATTACATTTCACTTCTCTATCTCAGGCTTTTAATTATTATTTCCAAAAGAGATATTTGAAAGATTAAGAGAAACATTGAGATAAAACATATACTTGATTTTCATACTCCTGAACAAATAATTCAGTTAAATTTGGTTCCTGAAATACAAATGGAATATTGTGGCATTGTTCTCCAAATACACTGAAGAATGGTCATAAGACTTTAATTTTACCATAAGTTTTGATGAATTTTAAAGAATTTTCTTGTTATATAGAATGCATTTGTATTATTACTATTCACAATAACTTGTTTGTGTAAATTAGGATTTTCAACCACAACTTCGTTAAAAACAACAAAAAATAGACTCAGTACTGAATCAGATTAGCATGTATCCGGTCTATATATGTTCCACCTTTGAACTAAAAAACAGGAAAGCATAGCCACAATATTCAGTAAAATCATTCTGAATGTTTCTATACTGGAAATTATTTGCTGTGTTGTGTTTAAATATTAAGGCAATTATATTAGGTGTTAACTTTGTTATATTTTTACTTTATCACATATAGTTGGGTATGTGGGGGTTTTTTTGGTGAGCTTTTATTTAATATGTTTGTGTGTATGTGGGTATCCATGTATATGTCTTTAAAAGCAAATTGTGTTTCTTTTTTTTTCTTTTTATTATGTTATGTTAATCACCATACATTACATCATTAGTTTTTTAAAATTTTTATTGTTATGTTAATCACCATACATTACATCATTAGTTTTTGATGTAGTGTTCCATGATTCATTGTTTGAGTATAACACCCAGTGCTCCATTCAGTACGTGCCCTCTTTAATACCCATCACCAGGCCAACCCATCCCCCCATCCCCTCCCCACTAGAAAATTTAAAGATGAGAAAAATTGTCCTTCAGAAGGGTTAAGTGACTTGCTCAAGTTCATATAGCTCTCAGGTCCAGCTTTTTAATTTTAAGCACAGTGCTATATTTAAGACACAACTATATAGTCCTCTAAGCATACTTTGAATGACAAAAAATACATCATCCCTCTGCTGGCTGTGTTGTGGTGGAAAGAGCATAGGACTGACAGCAGAGTGTTCTGTTTCATTCTTGGCTGTTCTGCTGATAAGCTGTGATGCAGAACAAGTCACCTCGTGTCTGTGGGCCTTCATCTCCCCACTCTGAGATGCTGTGAGAACCTGACCTCCTGGGCTTGAGGACAGAGCAAGCTTTCCTGAGGCATATCCACCCATTCCCACAAACATTTCTCCAGCTTTGCCAGTATGGGCTTGGAGAGACAGGGTACCCTTGAAGGATCTTGAAATGTTTGGAAAGCTCCATACATCCCCTAGTAGCATTTTCCAAGTCCCTTTTCCACATCTTTATCCAAAACTCAGACTGTCTACAATAAGATGGTGAGTTATGTAGTTTTTGGCTTTATGATCCAGAGCTAAATATAAAAAGACTTGCAACTAATGTCTGTTTTCTGGAACAGTTTCATTTGAAGGATCCTGTTTATTTGTTTTCATAAGTATACTTGTAAGTGTCAAAGGATGTAATTTGATTTAGTTTCCAAAGATGTTTGCTATATTCAGTGACAGAATTAATGAGATCAGTTGGGAAGGACCAAGGGGCAGAAACCTTGAAAGTTACTGTTATTTGTTGCCTAGGGCTGATATAACAGAGTACCAAACACTGGCTTAAAACAATAGAAATTTATTGTCTCACAGTTCTAGAGACTGTTAGTCTGAAACCAAGGTGTCAGTAGGGCCACTTCCTCCTGAAACTTGTATGGAAGAACCTTTCCTTGCTTGTTTATGGTGGTGGCTGTCAATCATTGACATTCCTTGGCTTGCAGCTGCATCACTCCAATCTCTGCCTGTTTTGTCACATGGCTGTCTTCCTTCTGTGTGTCTGTTTTCACATGGTACTGTCCTCTTTCTTATAAGGATACCAGTCCTATTGGATTAAGAGCCCATTCCATATGAGCTAATCTTAATTTACCACATCTGCAATTACCCTAGTTCCAAGTAAGATCACATTGTGAGGTACTGGGGATTAGGACTTCCAACATATTTTTGGAGAGGAAGGGATACAGTTCAACCCATAGCAGTCACAACTGAAAATACTCAACTTGTTTACTTTTCTATTTTTAATCTGAAAGGAGTATTTCCTGAAAAGTTTTAGGGTGTGGGAATGATATTCTGATTACTAGAAACTACTCAGATTCTGTAATACAGTTGATTTCTTTCTAGGGATGGAATTTATAAACAACCATGAACAACTTCACTTTCTTCACTGAGTTCATCCTCCTTGGGCTGTCTGCTGACTGCCACATCCAGACTCTGCTCTTTGTGCTGTTCCTGGGAATTTACCTCCTGACCCTGTTGGGGAATCTGGTAATGATCCTGGTGATCATAGGGGATTCTCACCTCCACATCCCCATGTATTTTTTCCTTGGACATCTGTCCTTCCTAGATATCTGCTTCTCTTCAGTTACTATGCCCCAAATGCTACAGAACTTCTTATCTCAGAAGAAAAGCATCTCAGTGTGGGGCTGCATTACCCAGAGTTTCTTTTTTCTTCTCTCTGGGTGTGCTGAAGCCAGTCTTCTCTCTGCCATGGCCTATGACCGCTATGCTGCTGTCTGCCACCCCCTGCTCTACACCATGGTCATGAACAGGCCTCTCTGCATGGTAATGGTTAGTGCAGCATGGGTGATGGGGTTTCTCTTCTCACTAATAAATAATCTTTTCATCCACAAGTTACATTTCTGTGGGTCCAACATTATCTCCCACTTCTGCTGTGAGCTTCCCTCACTCTTCCCTCTGTCATGTACTGATCCCACTGCCAACAAATTCCTTCTGTCAGGGTCCAGTGCATTTCTGGGACTGCTGACACTTCCCCTGATCCTCTTCTCTTACTCCAGAATCATTTCTGCCATTCTGAACCTCCGCTCCTCTGAGGGCCAAGCCAAAGCCTTCTCTACCTGCTCCTCCCACCTCACCGTGGTGCTCTTGTTCTATGGGACAGCTCTATTCAGGTACATCAGCCCCACCTCAGGCTCAGTGTTGGAGCGAGTGATCTCCATTCAGTACAGTGTGATTACATCCTTGCTGAACCCCCTCATCTACAGCCTCAAGAACCAGGAGGTGAAGGCAGCTCTGCAGAGGATGCTGAGGCAGTAAATGTGCTCCTCAGATGAGGGATTCTCTGTGTGGTGTTCAGTCAGAGAATGGGAGGGGAGATCTTCAGAAGTACCTCGAGAGGATAAGACATTTGAGGTCAGTGGTTCTCAAACTGTCATCCACAAACCAGCAGAATCAGCATTATCTGTGAGCTTGCAAGAAAGGCAGATTCTCAGGCCCAGCATTAATCTACTGAATCAACATTAGAGCTCAACAATCTATGTTTTAATTAGTTAGCCATGTGAGTGTGAGAAGTATGAGAAAAAATGTTCTAGGACAACTAATGTTTGAGAAAACAGCCTTTGGTGAAAGATACAATACTGACATCTCAAAATGAAGAATCTCTTATTAAATGAGAGAGTTGGTCTGTCCAGTAGTCAAGATGAGAACATTTGATTGTGTGATCTTATGATCACACCCTCTGCAAGACTGTAAAAGAGAAAAATAAAAACCTACATTATTTTAAGACATTGGAAAGAGGGAAAGTGCTGGACTGTCTACTGAAGGCAGACCAGCCCATTCCTTCCACCACCATTTGGGAACTAAAAGATTCTCCAGAAGCTAGCACAGCATAAAGCCAAGGACAGATGTTCCAAAACAGTGACTCACAAGCTTCCTTCACCTCACCTGAGAGCACTTGAGGCCATCAGATAGCCAGTGTGCCTGGGTAGTGGTCACTTGTTTGTCCTCAAAAGTAAAGACAACCTGAGGCTATGGCAGAAGAAACAGACCAGATGAGATAGCACTTTCTGTGCAAGCACTTTCACTGGGAACCTCTGCTTCCTGACGTGGTTGCCTGGGCCATGCTGTCAGGAGCTCTGAAGGCTGAGTTCTTGCTTCTATATATTTTGTCACAAGACAGACTACCTTTATTTTTATCTTTCACTTAAGAAATAGAGCATTTCCAGAGCCTTAGAAGCTCCATGCGTAGCCCCGTCACCTCACTCTTTTTCTCTCCCCAGAGGTAACCACTGTCCTGAATTGCACCATACTCATTCCTTTGTTTTATTTAAAGTTTACCTCTTATTTGTGATCCCTAAATAAGATTGTTGAGTTTTGCCTGTTCTTGAAATTTGTATGAGTAGAATCATACTGTAAATTTTTTTCTATGACTTGCTTTTTTCACTTAACATTATTTATTCTTGTGTTTTTATGTACGTCTTTGTAAGCAGTACCTGGCTGCATTTTGATTATTTATTCCAGTCTGAAAATAATTTTAAGAGAAGAGTTTAATCAACAATTATTACAGTAATTACTGGTGTATTCAGATCCATTTCTATGTTTCCCACTTCTTCTGTAACTTCCTTTTATTTCTCACTCCTTTTCCCTCTGCTTGTCTATTTTTTTAAAAGATTTTATTTTTATTTATTTATTTATTTATTTATCCGAGAGAGAGAGAGAGAGAGAGAGAGAGCATAAGCAGGGGAAGTGGCAGGCAGAGGGAGAGGGAGAAGCAGGCTCCCTGCTGAGCAAGGAGCCCAATGCAGGACTCTATCCCAGGACCCTGGGATCATGACCTGAGCTGAAGGCAGATGCTTAACGACTGAGCCACCCAGGCATCCCTTCTTGTCTATTTTTTGATGGCTGTCTTAAAGTTAGTACCTATCTAACTAAAGTATCTATCTAATTACCTATCTATCTAAAGTTAGCATCTTTATCCTCTTCCAAAACAATATAAAGATCATAAAATACTTTAATCAACAACATCCCAAATTTATATGCCATTTAAATCCAGTATTTTAGTTCTTCCCTTTACCCCACAAATTAGACATTATCACTGGACAATATTACTATATTATTTAATCAATCAGTTTTTATTTAGATTTACCCATATATTTATCATATCTTGGCTCACCGTATCTTTTTTTAAAATAATATGGTTGTTATTTATATAGTATTTACAGTATGCTGAAGAAACTTTATTTATGGAAAGTATATTTATGAAGGTACAATTATAGACAAAACACAAGATTATATATAATATCATAATGATATTTCATAACTTGTAAGACAAATACAGAAGATTTTAAATGTTTCATATTTTCCCTATATATTCTACAGATCACTATACCTTACTAAATTAAAAAAAATCCTTTGTATTACAGTATAAAATTAGAGGTTATTTTTATCAATATTGCTTCTGCATGCCAACAAAACATTTTATAATAGAATTACCAATTACAAATATTGACTTTTCTGATGAAATTTATCATTACTTTTGAGATTGTCTTATTAAACCATAACACTTGGGATCTTTTATTAAACTATAATACTTGGAATCTGTGTGTATCTTTTTTTTTTTTTAAAGTTTTTTTTTTTTGACATAGAGAGACACAGCAAGAGAGGGAACACAAGCAGGGGGAGTGGGAGAGGGAGAAGCAGGCTTCCCGCTGAGCAAGTAGCCTGATGCAGGGCTTGATCCCAGGACCCTGGGACCATGACCTGAGCTGAAGGCAGATGCTTAATGCCTCAGCCACCCAGGCGCCCCTGTATGTATCTTTTATAGAAGGGACTGAAAACATTTTCTAACTATTGAATATAATTTTGGGAATCAGTGACAAATGACACATTAATAATTAATTCCTATGGCAGTGACCACAAGCCCACTTGCTCTTGAAACCTTAATGAAATGCAGGCAAGCTTACCATGTCTTTCTGCATCTCAGATCTTCCGTTAGTGACCATTTTCTCATGTCCATAGCTGATCCTTAAAAATTCTCTGTGTCAGGGGTGCCTGGGTGGCTCAGTCGGTTAAGTGGCTGCCTTTGGCTCAGGTCATGATCCTGGGGTCTTGGGATCGAGCCCCACGTCCGGCTCCCTGCTCAGCGGAGAGCCTGCTTCTCCCTCTCCCTATGCCTGCCACTCTGTCTACTTGTGCTCTCTCTCTCTCTCTGTCAAATAAATAAATAAAATCTTTAAAAAAAAATTCTCTGTGTCAGTATGTAAGTGATGAATTGTTTTTGTTTGCCTGAAAATTACTTTATTTCTTGAAAGGTAATTTTTCTGGCTATAAAATTCTAAGTTGTAGCCTAGGTTAAGTTCTATTCTCATAGAAAGGATATATATTTCCTTCTGTCTGTTACCTTTGAGTCAGCCCCACTTTAAATTAAATTCTCTGCTTGAGGTGTTTCACACCACACACACAGACAGCATGAATTCAGACTTCACACTTGCCTGAGCACCAGCTGTAGTTATGAATTTGCAGGAAAATACCCTTTCCCTCTTTACCCAATTCCAATGTCAAAAGGGCCAATTCTCTCATGGCCCCCATCCCCATGGTAGATTATTTCTTATCTATGCTTACACTGAGATTGTAGCACCTTATTTCTAACAGTTATGTAATTCTTGCTATGTACCAGGCATTATAAGAACTTTATATATATTAACTAATTTAATGCTCTGAACAACACTAGAGAGATAGATACTATTATTTTCCTAATTTTACAGACTTAGAAAACGATGCACAGAGAGGAAAGTGACTTCCCCAAAGTCAGTGGGAGAGCTGGGATTTAAACCCAGGTAGTTTGTGTACAGAGTCCATGCTCACACTACTAGGCTATGCTGCTTCTGGGATTTTTTCCAATGAATGTGTGTCAAATTCACTATTAGAGTTCTCTTATTGGAATTATTTCTATTAGGATTCTCCTATTAGACTCCCTAGCCTAGCTGGTCTCTAGGTTTTATCTCTTGCCCTCTGTATCAAGCTGGTTAGAGTACTTGCTTAACTCCTAGGATTTCTTCTTTCACATCATTTGTGAGCTCTGAAGAGCCAAAAATGTCATCTTGGTAAGCCATTAATTTTTTCTAGTTCAGTATGTTAATTATTCAAGCAAAGAATACTGTGAGACAATCAGCTATACTGGTCAGAAGTAGAAGTCACCTCCTCAGTCAAGAGATCTTGATACCTTCATGCCCACCAGGCCAACACAGTTTCTGACCCAGGCCTCTCCTAACTTCCAAACTTGTCATCAACATCTTGAGTATTTTATGCTTTATTAAAATATATCAGAACCTTGTTTTCAAAAAAAATTTCAATAAACTATAAAAGTCAATAACTCCATTATATTGAGTTATGATGTTCCTACTAATTGTTTCAAAAATATAAATATATCCTTTGGAGTAAGCTCCTGGTTTATTTTGGAAGTAGCAAACTGTCTGATTCCTTCAGAGAAAAAGGGTCTTGGTAAAGAGCATAACCAGCCACATGTCTCATTTAGAATAACTTATTTCCCTAGAACTTCATCTTTAAGAAGGTAACACCTGAGATATATTTAGAAAGTAAAACTAAGAAACTTGGTGACCTATTAAATATGATGAATGAAGGAAAAGCAAAAATCAGATTTCATTTTATTTGGGTTAATGTGAACTATTTCACAATTATGGAACAGTTAGAATTTTTGTCAGGTTTTTCTATTATAAATAATACTGTAACCAATGTCTTTGTGCTTAAACACTGGTCTTCATTTTCAGGTGTTTCATTAGGAAAGATTCCCAAAAGTAGATTCACCAGGTCAAACTGTATTAATGTGCCATCCTTACTGCTTCTGGCCATCCCAGGGCTTGAAAGATGGAGTCATAACCAAAAGTATCTGGGGGAAGGAGGCTCACTTTCATCAGCTACTATTGGATGTTTGTTCCCTCCCTCATAACCTGCCTTTATTTATGGGAAACCCCAGGGGTATTTCTTGGTTCTTTAAGCATGTCTTCTCAATTTCCATAAACTGCCAAGAGCACTTGCATAGGAAATACTGAAATGGCCCTAAACAATACCACTGATGCCAGTAACTGGGTAGAATGGATATTTTGCAATATTCAGGATTCTGATCTAAAAAAATGAAATCTTTATTCACTGAGATTTTCTACTTGGGAAACAGGTGATTTTTCTTCATACTGATTATGTTTCTTCTTCAGAATTAGTCTGTTATTTTTTTTTTTACAGATAATGTAAATGAAATCTCTTTTCCTATTATATCTTTTAAGTGATTATTACTGGCAAAGAGA